AGAAGTGCCCGGTAAACCGTAGGCAGAGAGAGAGAAGAGGACAACAAACGAGGGGCTGTGACAAACTGTTTCGTCGGAGTTTCACCGACTCATCAGGAGGTATAATAAGAAATTAATAATAATAATAATAAATAAAAATAAAAAATTAAAAATAAAATTAAAAAAAAACATATTAGTGGGGTCCTTATTCTCACTGTCCTCTATGCACTCAAAGCAAAATGCTACAGTTTGCCTTATGATGATGGAGCTGCAAAGGGTTTAAATTTCTCCCTGACCGACGCCAGGTAGTTACAGGAATTTTGTTGGTCTTGTTCCATCAAAGGATTTCCGACACACGTCGTCTGTGTTTCAAATTTCAATAGTTTGTGAACTTTGTGGGTGTAGCTACCAACTGAGCGATCCCTGAATAAGACAGTGATGATGCAGCTCTTTCCTGTCATGGGAAACTGAACATTAAAAGAAAATTAATGGCATAATAAGTATTAATAACATCAATAAATATTAATAATTGTCGCTACAAGATGGGAATGTTCAAGGAGAACGGTAGTGCTTTATCTTCCTGTTTGTTTCACACCTTACGCGACCGATTTCTTTCTGTTCCATCGCCATCGGAGAGCATCGCTACGAGCAATCTGGGAGGAACATTGCACGGGCACTTTGGGTCCCAAGAAGTCAGCCCCAGAGAAGCAGTGCCACACTCGTTCCATCATGCAGACAGCAGAAACAGGGAAAGCATGAATCTGGTCATATTCCAGGTCATGTTCATGCTTTGTTGGTATGAACCTGACTGCCATATCTGATTCAGAGCATGTTTGGGAACAACGTGTTTTAAAAAAAACTGCAACATTGTTGTGCATTAAAACAAGGAGGACCAGATTAGGGTCATGTTCCATGTTCGTCCTTGGAAAGCATGAACCTGGTCATATTCATTGCTTTGTTGGCATGATCATTGCACCGGCCGGGCCCTGGCCCTAAGAAACAGCTTTCCGACGATTACCTCCGAAAAATAACGGTCTGGCAATGGGACACACTGCTGGACCCGCTTTCCATCCAATCCCTATTGTCTGTTCCAAAAAAAAAAAATAATAATAATAATAATAATAAATAAAAAAAATCTAGGTAACAGCTCCCCCCCTCCTGCCGGGTTGAGATTCTAGAGGAATTCCCTGGCAGTGCCTCATTGATTGTCAATTTTGAGGTAGTCCTGGGCTGGAGTTGCTGGACTGCAATGTGCCGCAGATGGGTGCTCTGGAATCCCACAGTCGCCGGTCGTAGCCTCCGTGCGGGTCCCGTGGTCTATGTTCTTTTACAAGCGTGTACTACATGTAGGGTGTACGGGTAGGTCGATCCATGTGCGGTGGAAGGAGCATGTGCGTACCGCTTGTCTGTAGGATGTGTGCTGCAGAAATCGTTAAATAATATAGATGGTGTCCAGGGCTGGAGTGGGATGACTGGAATGTGATGTGGAACCTCTCTGCGCCGACGATGTCTTCCATAGGGTGGGTTCTCATTTAGCTGCAGTAGTGGAAGAATTGGCAATCCCCACTGAGTCCCCAGGTCATCAATCAACAGCCCACTGAAGGCGGAGAGGTCCCGGAGCCCAGCATGATCGAGATGGCCAGCAGGACTGCCACGTCAGTGGACGAGGAAGTGACAAGAATCACAGGTGAGGATGTTCCAACGAACTCACACACGACAGTAGGAGGGCAAGAACGGATGCCTTCTTGCGATTCTTGATGAGAATAGCCAAAGCTGACGGCAGTGACGGGTCAGCAGACGGAACTTGAGAGGAATACATGAGAAGGGCAAGCTTGCAGTCAATCCTCCTGTAACATGGAGCAATGAATGCTGGTCAGGGATCCTTTCTCTTCGCCAAACGGAAGGATGCGTGTCCGTTTAATAACTTGATTTGATGTATCTTTAAGTTATTATTCCGTTTGAAAGGTTGTGCAGGTTGGAGACCGTCTTCGGCGGTCCTATATGGAGCGGCCATCAAGAGCAGCCCCGCCAGGAGGGCCGGCTCTCCGAGCCTTCCTATGCTATCGGAGCTTGGAAAAAAAAAAAAGAGGGAAAAAAAAAAGAACAACTTCTGAAGAAGGCAAAAAAAAAAAACAGTCAGTTTGGTTGCTTTGGTACACAGTGACTGTGCTACACACATTTAACTTGATGTAAGTGTTGATAAGCAGGTGACGAGTTCAAAGACGTGCCGGACACAAATTGCAGCAAGACATGTTGGACATGAAGTGCATCGTGACATGATGGATACGCAGTCAGATGCATTGTCATGAGTGAAATCATGTGAAGACATCACCCCCACTCTTTTTGTTTCCTGTTCTTATTAAATTTTTAATGGTCAGTTTTGGTATTTTAGGTTTGGATGAGAGAAGACCGACCAGGGGCATGCGGCGCATGTGCCTCGCAGTTACCCTGTTCCCCTGAATAATGGTACCAAGGGTTCAAATACCGTTCAATATCGAAGGGAGGAGGAGGTCATTTGCAAAGAACGGTTAAGGGACGACTCCCGAAGGTCCCAGAGCGCACGTCAGTCTGACAACTCATCTTCTCTGGGACACAATGACAAAATCGCAAAATCAGCGGCCAGATCGAGTCCTCCTAGAGAGTAATCTTAAAAGCTTAAAGGAAACAAACAAGTTACGTTGCAGTGCTAGAGAATACTCACGCTACGCCCTCAAAATGACAAAATCTCAAAATCAGCGGCCAGATCGAGTCCGCCTTTCACAGGGAGTCAATCTGGCCGCTGATTTTGTGATTCTGCGATTTTGTGATTCTGCGATTTTGAGGGGCTTGTGTGAGTATGCCCTTACTACTCCTTGGAACTTTCTATTTCAATACCCTTGTTAGATGGAGCAACATTATGTTCAAAGGGATGTGGGGACCACTGCAGCTTTCCAGCAGGTGCAGCTCCCCACCAATAGATGGAGCAACTGGATGGGGACCTAGTAGTACGAGCAGCTGCTTGTACCACACTGTACCTAATAAGGCCGCACCCCCAGTTTTTTTAAAAAAAAGGAATTTCAAAAAAACAAACAAACAAACTCCTCTTTGGAAAGGGACAATGAATGGTGAGTAGAGGCTCTTTGGCCAAGAAATAGAAAGACGTGTCTGAGTTTGTCGCGTTTTGTACCCGTGATTTGGAAACGGGAGTGGAACTCCCTAGACTAGAATGGATAGCGGACCGTGAGGCGCTGTCAATCATACAAACGAAGGAAAGGGTCCGAAACGCAAGAAAGAACATGGATGCTGCATCTGTCCTTG